AAGGCATTGGTAAGGTTTAGGGGTCTTAGGAGAGGTATTGAAAAGACCTGAATCATAATCTTTTCAAATGAAGGGGCAAATGAGGGTTTTGGGTTTGTAATTCGATAGGAGGTTATCTAAGGATATTTGGAGTCTAATGAGAGTGTTTGATGGCTTTAAAGTTGTTGGAATCATAAGAATCTACGTTATGGGCATTTCGGCCGATAAGGGGACTTAATTTGGAATCTCTTCAGATGATAAGGTAAAATGGGAATTTTAGGGATTAAAATTTGATGGGTCAAGGATCAGGGGGTTGATGGAGGTTTTGATGGGTTTGGCAATGTTGGATTATGGGTTTTAATTGTAGTGTCTGGTTCATGAAAATGGAATCTTTGATGGTTAGATGGAAAAATCAAGGAATTTAAAGGTGGGATTTGGATCGTGGGTTTTGATCATAGCATCTGGTTCGTTAAAAGGGATGGTTAGATGGAAAAATCAAGGAATTTATGGGTTTTATTTCTTATGATTCAGTCTAATCGTGTGATAAGTGTGGTGATGGGGCGCATTCGTGGCCGTCAAAAGGGAATCTTGTAGTTTTAATAGTGAATTTAGGGTTGTTTGAGTTGAAATTTGGTCTTTTAGGGTTTTGACATGCTCTGGAGATATTGGTGAAGTCTGATCAGGCATTTGGAGTGTGAGGAGTGGGTCAGAGAGGGGACCGAGCAAAATTCGAGTGCTGACATAGGGCTAAAACCATGAATCAGAACATTTAATGTATTGATGCGACTCTCCACCTTGAATTAAATGAAGTGTCATAAAATAGGATCAAACCAACGCATCAAAGGCCATAATTTTATGGTTTTAGCCCAGCTTTGCTCCAAGTGGAGTAGCTAATTTCTTCTTAGCGTTGAGGCTTTACCTCATATGCAAGGAGTCTAGATGAGGTGGCCTACTCATTATAAGCACTCCGTAAATTTTCTGATACAATCCCCTAAGTACCCTCATTCTACCATTAAGCTTAATTTGGAAAGAGTGCAAATACAAATATATACATTACAAATACATACAAAATACAAGGTTTTGCACTCTAGATATTTGTATTTGTATTCCTTCCAAATTGAGCCTTTGGGAAGAGTACAAAAACATATACAGTGCAAATATAAGGTTTAGAATTACAAAATACAAGATTTGCATTCTACATATTTGTATTTATACTCTTGTGCATTTTTTTATGAATTATACTCTTGTGCATATTTATATTTGCATTATTTTCAAATAGAGCCTAGCAAATTTTTAAGAGACCTAAGGAGAATTGCTTGGAGAATGTTGTTTCTCACAATCCCTGGAGATTAAGAGACCTAAGGAGATTAAGAGCCAAGCAAATTTCTTGGGAGAATTGCTTTAAATGGTTGTGTTATATGGAAATCCTTGGAGAATGCTGTTTTGAATTTGAAGGAAGACTCCGCTTGTATTTTGTCCAAAAATTCTGATTTTTTTGTACTTGATGCTGCTCGATAGGAGGTAGTGCACGAACCGAGGAAGGCAGTCAAATAATCCTTGCCAATAGGGCGACACTGAGGTGGAAGGAAGAGGTCGTGTTTCAAGATTTGTGATCAAGAAAGGGAAGTCAAAGGCCTTAGGAGTTATCCCCGGGTAGGCATTCCGACGCTCAAGTCAATAGAAGGTAGTGGATAGTCGGGCCGAGCAATAAGGGTGCTGGTCCAAGTAGAGTAAAAATATGGGTGTCAGAAGTTTGATCCCTTACCTTGAGCATGAAATACCTCTTTATAGCAGAAGATCCGTGTCCTAGTTGGATTGGGCTTCCGGGGTTGCCAGGATGAGGTTAACTACCAAGGTCCTTGGGATAGAGTCCTATTCCCCGGCGGAGTTGTCTTCCTCTCTTCTCTTATCTGTAGTTATGCTTATCCGTGTGACATATAGCTGATGTGCTAAGAGGATAAGATGGGGGCTACAATAATAGTGTAACCTGATCGAGGCTGTGGAGCCAGTGTATGCCACAGAGTTGGCTGAGCTATGCTAACATGGCCGGGATGACCGGGCAATGACTAGGCGGCCATGTGTCTCTTAGGACCAGCTCAGCCATGACCCGAACACCACTCCCTTAGTTTTGAAGTCAAGGAATGAAGTGTTCGGCTGAGGTGTAATGCGATAGGATGCTTTGTTCCTTGGCTGAGGAGCTCCAAGTTGAAATCTAGTGGAAGTCTGGTTGAGCGTCTGGTCTACTTGGTGTTCCTCGGTGCTTGCCAGAATTTAGGGTCCACGCAATGTGGGTTGTGGCCGAGGAGTCCTTCAATTGTTAGCTGCAAAACTCCAAGAATCTTAACTTCAGAATCCAAACACCACTACCCCAGTTCTAGAGCCGAGGAGGGGGTGCTCGGCCGAGGTGTTGTGCGGTCATTTAGCCCAACAGGGCACCGAGGTGTTGAGTTGCTTTGTGGTCTGGATCTTCCTGATGCTTGGTGAAGTTGTGCTAAGGAAGGGCTCTTCGTTCCTCGGCTGAAATGCTGCATGGTCGTTTAGCTCAGCTAGTTGCTGAGGTGAAGTTAAGCTTCGAAGTCGGGGCCTCTCTGATTCTCGGCAATGCTGCACCGAGGAAGGTGTCGTGCTCCGAAGTCGGAACCTCTATGATGATCGACAATTCTGTGCCGAGGAAGGTGTCGCGCTCCGAAGTCAGAACCTCTATGATGCTCAGCAATGTTGTGCCGAGGAAGGTGCCGAGCTCCGAAGTTGAGGCGTCTCAGATGCTTGGCAATGCTATGTCGAGGATGGACTCTCTGTTCTTTGGCTGAGGAATTCGTTCTTGAAATTTCAAAATCTGAACACCACTCCCTCAGTTCCGAAGTCTAAGAGTGGAGGGCTCGTTTGAGGCACAGTGCGACCTCCTTTGGTCGGTGTTCACTGCTGGGAGGACCTCGGGCATCTGCAACGTTGGTTGGACTAGTGCTTTAGGGCAGACCAAGGCAATTAATGTCCTTATCGTTGTTTGTCAAGATCGTTGCTTTGGTTCCCAAGGCCTTGTGCGTGCGGTGACAATTGCGATGATTGGTCTTCCCGAGCTTCGTCAGAGCAGCGCTTGATCCCCACCGTCGATCTGGCTTCGATCCACGCTCATGAGGGTTATAAGAAGGGGTGGGTGGGCATTTCTCTTTTGCCATTTGCGAGAGGGATCGCTTAGTTAGCTTGGCGAAGGGTTGTTGCGTTGCTCGTCTTTTGCTTTTTGGTTCTGTGGCTTCAAGTCCGGTAAGATGTCTTCCCCATCTTCCTGTTCTTCTTCCTCCTATGGTTCCTCTTCGTGTTCTAGTGGCTCAGATTATGAGTCTGAGGTTGGGGATTTTGAGGCTGCCAAGGTTGAGGAGGTCGAGGTTGGTCTCTCTAGGGTAGAAGTAGAGCGTCCCTTGCGGGCTGGTCACCGGTTTCAGACCACCCCCTACGTTTTGACCCCTGGGAATATGGCTCGGATCCGAGCTATGTATGACATCCTCGAGGTGTTCGGGATGAGGTGTCTGCAGCCTGGTGAGATGCCAACAGATGCTCGACCAGGTGAGATATGTGTGTACGAGAACAATTTGAAAGCCGGGCTGAGGTTTCCCCTAAATGAAGGGATTGCCGAGGTGTTTGGGTGGTACCGAGTATTGCCGGTGCAGCTGATGCCAAACTCCTTTAGATTTTTGTTCGGCCTTATGTCTTACTGTGTGGTCCGTGACATCGAGTTGACCCTGGGTATGGTGACCTTCCTCTTTCAATTGAAACATCACCAGCAGGGCTACTATTACTTCTTGACTAGGAAGAATATCAAGCTGTTGGTTGAGGCCCCCTCTTCTGTGAAGCATTGGAAGGAGACTTTCTTCTTCGTGTCGAGGACGAGAGTGTTGTAGCCTCAAAGGTCTATGCTCACCTGGGAGGAGAGGTCGGCCCTAAACATGATTCATGAGATAGACGTAACAGCATACACATGCTCTGAGATGTTAATGCTCACTAGGTTGATGCACAGGGTGGCCAGTTTGTTCTTTTTGTCGCTTCGATATACTTATCGAACCCTTACTTTTTCTTTTTTTGATCTTGTGCTTATTGTTACGATTCCGTGGTGCAGGTGTGGAGATGGCAAGCGAAAAGGAGATTGCCGAATGAGGGAGAATCGGCAAAGGCAGAACCGGGTTGGTGCATAGGCGCAGGTCTGCCCGGAGCTAGTCCCTCCACCGAGGCCTTCCGAGATGACGTCCCGTCGCCAAAAAAGGGTTCAACAATGGGGAAATGAAATTAGGGGCAGCAGCTTGAATATCTATATGCTGCATTGGTCGGTCCGTAGCAAGGACGGGCTAGAGACCACTGAGGTTCCCGAGCAGCGGAATGATGATAGCGTATATAACTGAGGAGGCCGGGAATACTAAAAGCAGCGCCTTAGAATGCCGACGACCCGCCGCTGTTAAACAAATTACAAGAAGATGAACAGTGATTTTACTTTAGTTGAACAGTGATTATTTTTAAAAACTTAACCTAATTTTGAAAATTTTTTAAATATATTAGGGCCCAAAAGTTGCCCTTATATGCTAATATTCATCCCTGTATTTTGTTCGATACGAGAAAACTCGAAGTAAGGTGTGACTATTCTTTTCTTTTTTGGATGAGCAAGCTATGGCTAATTCCTTTTCCAATCTGGACCTATATATCATTTTTGCTGGAATGAGACAGGGACCAATAAGGCAATGATTGGTGAAGCAATTCATTTTTGCCTGGAACAAGCAAGAATTTGGAGGATACCCCGAAAATTAAAATGAAAAAAAAAATCAACATTGTCTATTTTATGGATTTCAGGCTTGCAATCCAATGTCTTCAATCTTTGAGGAAATTTTTGAATCCACAGAACACAAACGGATCAAGAACAAGGAAAACAAGCACACATGATATAGCTGAGATTTACATTGATTCTGTCAAAACATATTTGTTCAATTCCCCTCTAATATTCATTAGAATGGAAAGATATATAGTATATACAGAGTAGAGAAGAGCAAAAGAAAGCACATATTATTTGTTTATTTACTCTGTTTAAAACACATGATAATAGCTAAGTTTTACATTGATTATGTCAAAACAATAATTGTTCAATTCCCATATGCAACGTAACATTCATTGGATTTGGAATGAAAAGGCATATGGTATATAATACAGATCAGAGCAAAAGAAAAGCACATATTGTTTGTTTATTTAAATCTGTTTAGGCCTAATCTCAATTCCTTGGATAATAAGACCACGCTTCCAGTGACCACCCTTCACCTGCATGAGATTCATCTCCACTTCCCCATCTTCTCCTCTGTCGTTAAAGAACTCACCCATCTGTATTTCCAGCCATCCATCTTTTCTCTCCTGCGGGTACTGTGCCTTCTGTCGACCCTCCAAAATGGGTGGCGGAAACATGGGCGGTAGCTGGTGAGGCGATTGAGGATCCAGATACACACTGCGGATGTCTCCGCCCTCAGTTGCAGCAAACCTCACGGACAGCTCTGCTGGGAGAATGTCAAGGCCTCTTCTATTCTCCGCCAGCTTGAAAACTAGGTAAGCTTCGTAAATTGTTCTCGGGGACAGCATTCTTGTCTCTATCTTGCCATGGATTTCAAGCCAGCAAACGTTCAAGAGTTCAGCCACCTCTGAGAACCTGCAAATTCCAGCCTCATAGCAGAGAGAGAGAGAGAGAGAGAGAGAGAATTGATACCTGGATTCAGGGTGGGATCTCCAGGTCCAATACTCGGGAGTAGAATTCCATACAATGAAAAGCTCATTGGCTGCAATCATAAAGCATTTCTTCCCACTGCGTCTTTCCAATGCGAAACTCTGTTCCAAGTAAAATTTCAGTTTGAATTACTGGAATTAGGAAGGGGAAGATATCAGAAACTCGCGTGTTCCCCACGCGGTGCGAATCTGATCAATACGCAAAATCAACCAAAGACAAAGAAGCGAAAAATTTTCAGGTGGTTTGGCGATTGGTATTCACCAAGGAGCGGAGAAGTCGAAAAGGGGTTTACCTTTTGGCCGTCGTCGATGAGGATGGGGTGATCGCAGAGGTGAAAATAAAGGTCTTTCTTCGATGGGAAATCCACTGCAGAGACTGATCTTGAAAGGATATCTCGATAATCAGACGGCAGAAATCTCTCCCACACGGCATCTGAATCTGCCGCCGATCGAAACTCTGATGAGACCACCAACGATCGGCACGCATCCTGTGGAGACGTGAGCGAAATGATATTCGAAATGCAACCCTCCGGCAAGGCGTAGAAACCCACTGTTGTGCTGCTACTCTCTTCTTCCATTCTATTCTCTCTCTCTCTCTCGCCTCGTCTTCTGAATTTTGATTGTCCGCCATTTGTTGGCTCTGTATATAGGGATAACAGTGGAACAGGAATAGAAGAAATCTTCAATGTTAAGGAATAAGGATCAGCGATGGGGTTAAAATTACTAAACTGCTCAGAATATTATTACACTTTTACCACACCCATGAACGTGCTGACTTTTGTTGTCGACGAGATCGGTTTCGTTGAGGCAATACAAACAAAACTGAATTTGAAAGACATAGTTGTAATTATATTTTTTGTGTAAAATAGTAAAAAAGATTTTTTTCCTTTCTTCAAACTTTTATTTTTATATATTTTACATATTCTGAGAAGCATATAAATCAAGTGGTAGTGCTTCAATTGATACCTTATCTAGTTAGTTGTAGTAGAGACCTTGGGTTGGGGTAATGGGTTACCTCCCATTGTGTAGTCTTATAAAGCCAAAAAATGTGCTTAGCATGAAACTAATAATTAAGTTTAAAAAACAATTTCAAAATTGAACTGATAAAGATAACCAAAAACTCACATTTAGTTATTCTTACTATATTTTATTATTGAACCAGAACAATCCATTAAACAAATCTACATTAAATTAATAAAAACAAAGGAAAAAACTTGAACCCAAAGAAAGGAGCAAAATAGAGGAAAAAACCTGGTAATTCAAAGATAAGAGCAATGATTTGTTTAGATTGGTTCACCCTATGTATTGATGGGCAAATTTGGGTCCAAGCTAAAGTTTATATTTAGATTGATCCTTAATCTAACCTGATCCATCTAATTTACACCCTACTTTATTAGAAAGAGTCAAAAGGGATTAAGGGATATTTAAGAGGAAAATAAGGATTTAATTGGGAGGAGAAATGTTACAAGCATTGACCATTAAGGAGAGGAAGAGATTTATTAGAGAGTAAATATGGATTTTATTAGAGACAATAAAGACCCATGAGGTTTTTAATGATTTAATATAAAAATAAATGTGCACATGTGTGAGAAAGGAGAGGAGGAGATAGCATAAGATCCGTGGTGAGAGGACCCTCACCTCCCTTCTTTCCTCTCTATATTATATATATAGATTTGCCCTAAATATGAGAGATGATCCAAATGCATGGACCGATGTGGCTATGGGCTGTTTTTGGGGTGCCCTCTTTCTGGGGAGTCCATCTGAATTCCATAAAACTGTTCTTATAATCCATTGTAGTTGTGCATTGGAAATATCTTCCCATGAATAAAAAATACACGGGATCAATTACCAAAAAAGAATAAAAAAAATACAAATCTGGAGATATTCCCAATGCACATGGCTGCAAAAGGGTGTGAGAACGATGTGACTTGTGAGGACTAAATCTAAGGTTGTGTTTGATTTGGAAGAAAAGGTAAGGAAAGGAAGGGAAAGTCAAGGAAACCTTAACATATCTTGTATAGGTTTCCCTAGTGTTTTAAAAACCAACTTGGAGGCCGAACCACTTTTGCCTCTAGGTCGAGGGTCACCGATTCGACCAGTTGAGTCAAACAAGTTAGATTGTGCCACATTAGTCATATAGAAATTCAAATATATATATATATATATATGTGTGTGTGGGGGGGGGGGGGTGCGTATGTATAAACATGTATTTTATCAATAAATAATGTATAATTATGTTTTACATGTAATATATGAAATATTTTATATTTAATTTATATTATTTAATTCAATTTTAAATTTTTATTTGTAAAAAAAATTTTAAAAAATGTAATTTGAGGCCAAAAAAGTTTTTTTTGGAAAAAATTAATAGCGCAAGGTGCCTACGGACCTTGAGAGGCATAGATCTCAAAAGTTACCAAAAATAAATAAAAAAAAATCACCTTAATTGGACACTGGAGTGCAAAGTTATGGCCTCATGAAGTTTGCATACACACTTAGCATGCAACCTAAAACCTTGTCATTAGGTCGAATGGGTTACTCTAACTGTACGAGTCAAACAGGTTTTGACCAAGTCAATGGGTTTTTTTACCCTCTCTAGGTTTTATTTAAACCGGACCCGGAATCTTGATCTAGTGACGGTTTGAGCAGTTCAACCAGTTGGGTCAATGGCAAGTTGTAAACACTGGCTTTCCCTACCATTCCCTTCCTTTCCCTACATTTTTTTTTCAAACCAAAGACAGCCTAAATTCACAAAAATATTTAGCCAACTTCATATTTAAGTCCAACTTATCCAGCTCCAAAAGACATTAAAATCACTCCAAAGCAAACATTTTTAGCCACCTATGAATTAGAAACCACCAGCACTTTGTCCCATCCCCTCATAGCTATCAAGGTCATCCCTCTTAAAATAGCCCCTAATTCAACTTCCAAGGGCCTACTTACACAAATTATACCTATTTATATAGCCAAAATTAAAGAGTTATCACTATTTAGAACACAACAACCAAAAACAACCTAAATTATCATTTAAAACACCCTCATCACAGTTCAAAGAGGAAGATTTTGCAATATGAATCAACAAAACCCTCCAAATTAGACTGTCTCATGAAAGAATTACAGTATAACATTCCAATAACACTAGAATTATCAAACAAGGCCCTTTGAATTTTCCTAGGAATTACAACAGGGGAGGGATTTATTTTCTCATTTCTCTATTTCCAGTTATAACACCAAGCCTCCAACTTAAGAAATCATCCAAAACAGGAGCAATCACCACAATAGAAAATAAGTAATCAAGGAATTGTTGGAGAGAAGAGAATCCTATGGCTCTCCTAAAGACATCAGACTAGCTGCTAGCAAAGCAAATGGCCCACGAAAAAAGGACACTCAATGAGAAGATGAAAAAAGGACACGCAATTTGAATCTTGAGTAATTTCTTGATTAACTAAATCTTGTTTAGTCATTAAAATGAAATCGTTTGCAATTCTCTTGAGAAAAGGCTTAAGTCTAGGGGAATTTTCAATTTCCAAACTCGTTTTAATTGTTGATTAACTTGTTGCGTCTGTATTGCTTATATATATTAGAATCTCTAGGCTCCTCATACTGGTAAACTTTCTTGGTGGACAATTTACCATTACCTGATCTAGTCCAAATCACTCTATCATCCACTTTGAAAATGTGTTTCAGAAATCAAATCCATTTCCCTTTGTTGGAAAACATTTGCCAACATTTGCATATTCCATTCTTACGAATGTTACACAATTAAATCTTTGATTTTCAAATCATTTAACTCAAAAGGGGGAGGCCCCATAGGACAAGTAAATCCATCTTCTATTTTGATCCAGGGGTTATCCCAGACACCCAAATTTGTCAGTTCTTGAACTCGAAAACCTAGTGACAGGACTAAATCCTATAGCTCTTGAGCACTATTTTTCCAAACCAAAGATGTTGATGGAGGAATCTTTCTTGTAAGTCACTCATTATTGCATAGGTGTTTACCACGTAGAAGTTTGACCCATAATTTATCTATCTCATTCAAAAAATGCCAAGTAGTTTCGCAAGATAGCACCTTGTTTAATAAGTTCATACATCCAAGCCCATGCTCACCTTCCTCTTTTAATTTATAGATATTACTTTAGATAGCCCATTTCATTTCCTTCTCCCTTTCTTTTCATTCCACCATAACTTTCTTTGAACCCCTTCCATTTCCTCTAGTATTGTCTTAGGAAATTTGATCACTCATGTAGTAAGTTAGAATAGATTGAAGTACAGATTAAATAATGACCTTTTTCTAGCATAAGAGAAGCTTTCCATCCATTTCTCTCTTTTCCCTATAAGGGGATATTAGCTGCCTTCTGATCATTTGGGCTCCTTTAGAAAGGCTTCTTTTATTAAAGTAAATACTTGATTTTTAGAAATTCACTTGTAATCCAGAAAGGAGTTGAAACTGACCCAGAAGTTCCTTAAAATCCCAAGCCTCCTCTCTATTTGCCTTATCGAAAACAATTACATCACTGGCACATAGAAGATGAGAAATAGTAGCTAGGGGCTTGTCTACTAACCCTTATCCTCAATAACTTCCCTTGGTCATTAGCCCGAGCAATTATCCTAGAGAAATCCCCCCATGGCCAATACAAAGAGGTATGGGGAAATTAGGTCCACATGCTTGATTCTTGTAGAAGCTTTAAAGTACTCTTAGGCACACCATTAATAACAATTGAAAAAGAGACTAAGAAAGTGCAAAACCAAATTAACTAGCACCATTCCTCAAAAAAATTCAAAGATTTCACAACTCACAATAGGTAATCTCACTCTAGGGAATCATAGGCTTTAGAAATGTCTAGTTTAGTTACTATAAATTCATTCTCTAATTTCATGGTCTTCATAAACTAGCATAATTCCTAAGTTACATGTAAGCTCAGGGAAGCTCATGGCCAGAAAAAAAGATGGAGTTGCCACCCATTTTTTAGAGGAAATGAGCCCTCGTTTTCACATTTGAAAATTGATTTATCTGCTTTGATAGTGGCTTCTTTCTCCATGGGAAAAGGCATACAACCGAGAGATTTAGGACTCCAAGGATAGGGAGAGGGAAGGTGTTAGACACCCCTCACTCCAAGCTGCTATAGCAGCCCGATACAAGAGTTGCTCATGCTCAATTTCCAACAAAAGGACTAAGGAAAAGGATTGCTTCCAACAAAATTTAGTGAAAATACTCCCAACTTTATCCAGAATTGATTTGAGGTGATATTATAAAGTCTTAGGTACTGATTTTCCTAAGACCCTTGCCTCTCTACCTCTTTCTCTTAGTCCAAAGGAAGATAGGAATGCGAGTTCCCCATGGTTTAAAGACTTCAATCAATCTAAAACTAAACTGAAAAATAGAGAATATAAAATCAAGCTTAGAAAAACGATAGAATGAGAGACTTAACTCACATGTACAACCTTGAGAAGAGTTTTCCAGCAGCTAAAAAAATTCAAATGAAGCTTTGACGAACTATTAAGTTGGGGTGAGTGTTTCTAGTTTCAAATCTTTAGTTTGAAAATAGGGGACACAAATTTGAGGGTTAAGCTTCAAAGGTCTTAGAATTTCAGGTAAAGTGGTGGCACTGCCGAGACTGGAGAAATGCTCTTCTTCTGCCCCCCCTTCAGATCCGCCCAAGGTCCTCTCCTC